CTCTGGAGAAGCTCATTAAATGACACACACAGGTCATCCAGTGGCATCTGACCAACCTAGCACCATTCATGAGCTGAACCATTGGCTACCATGTGCAGGTACAGAATCGGGTCCACRATGTGGCTTAACCCCAAGTTTTGCAATTCCACCTTCCATCACCCAGGGGTCCTCAAGCACTCCACTGAAGCACCCCTGACCCTAAGGAAAGTGGATCCCTCCTACCCCAGGCTGGGACCTAGCACCGAGCTGCTGAGGATTAACTCAGAAGTGCATGAAAACCTTTAACACTAAAGAACAGTTCTCCACACTCTACTACTGATCTGAGCATTTTCTATCAAAAGTAAACCCACCKGGGCCCCCTCTTCCTGGGTACATGCTGTAGGCCCCTCCTTCTCCAAAAAAAATATCTTAACTAAGCTTCTCCAGAAATCTTCGCCATAATTGATCTTAAGACTATAAGCAAAAGAGTCTCTACAAAAGAGTTCAATGTAGATAAGCTTCCTATTTTCATGTTGCCCTATTTTACTTGGCCACGAGCTGGAAGAAATCAGCACTCCAGGTGCTGGACACCCTCTTACTAATTTTTCACAAACATTTATCCAGTAGAGTAGTTTGTAGAAATGTGTAAACAAGGCCTCTGGCCTTGAGCTGGGCTTCACAGAGATGTCTACATTTCTAAGAGAGGTTCCCARTTGGGCCCCATGGTAACAGCTGGCAGGGGGAGGAAAGAAAGGGGAGAAGAAGCTCTCCTCTTCTCAGGTGTTATCTTTGAAGGGTTAACTTGCTCAAAATAGTGAAAGAAAAAAGCTGCTTTATGTGAACTTGTGCAGACTATGAACTTCTGAGCTCCTCCCCTTACATACTGGGTATAAAATTCTGAAACTACCTGAACTTGGGGTTCAGGGAATTGATTGATTACAGCCAAAGCTGTGTCCTCTGAGCCTGGCTACAGCCAAATAAAACTGTTTCCTGCTGTTTTCGGTGCCTTACCTCGTCTGTCCCTACAACAGTGCCAACCAACCCTTGCTATGCTGCCAAAGGGCAACCACTAGGAAGATGCCTGGCTCCCTTTACCAAAAATGCACTTATTAAAATTATGCTACTGCCATGTTTTCACCCGAGTGGGAAAAACTAAACCAGTAACCACACAGTTGATGAGGGTGTGGGAAAATTGACAGAGGGGAAGTGTGACCTTTTGCACAGCAACTTAACAGTTGCATCAAAATTTAAAATGGTCATCCCCTTCAGCCCAGAAGTAGCAACTAGGAGACCACAGTGCACCTCGCAGTAATGGACAGAGAGATGGAAACACAGCCAATGCCCTGGAGTACTGTACACAGCTTGGGTGAGACCTACTAGTGCAGCAGGGTGACGCCATGCTGGAGTCAGAGGAGAAAGTGGGCCGCACTTCAGGCAGGCCACGACCTTGATGTTTACAGACGTGTTCTTGCAAATGCACAGAAACCTCTGGATTAACAAGACATGAAGGGGCTGGAGTTGTGGCTAAGTGGCAGAGCGCTTGCCTGGCATGTGTGAGGCACTGAGTTCAATCCTCAGCACCACATAAAAATAAATAAAAAATAAACGTACATCAACAACTAAAAAATATTAAAACAAAATAAGACATGACGACTTAGGTCCAGGGTGTGTGACTGAGGAGCAGGAAACTTTCATGTTCCTAACTGAAGCCCTTTTGAGCTGAGTTATCTATGACTAGAAGTCAAGGAAAAATATGAAATAGTCTGAGCTTCTCAGCAGAAAGCTCAATGTCCCACTAGAATGTTCCAACCAAACCTGAAGATGAAAAACCCCACAGATTACTAAATTCACAGTCTCTCCTGAKAAAACACGGAGACAGGTTAAGTATCCCATATTTGAAACTCACAGGGCCAGAAATGTTTTGGGCTCTTTTGATATTTGCATATACATAAATCAGGTAGTTTGGGGAGGGGACCCAAGTCTAAACACAAATATCCATTCACATTTCATGTACACTTTATACACAGGACTAA